TAGAGGTAAATTGTGTGCAATTAACTTATTTTGATTTAAGAAATACTTAGATGTTCTACGTCCACGGAATATTTAAATTCCCTGTATATTTTGTAAGTCTGCTTTGAAAAAAAAATCTCGAACAATTTTTTCTCAAAAACAATGTAGCGTTTGTTTTACAGGAGACAAAAAAATGCAGTAAATACTAGGAGCACCACTTTACGAAACAACAATTAGGCGTCGGTGGAGTTGGAAAATATTTCTACTAAATTTTATGTAAGGATGGTGGTACTTTTCACCCTTCCCGTATTTTTTTCTTATGTGTCATGAGAGGCAAATTTTAAAGCGCCTAGCAAAACATAAGCAACTCAAATTTCATTCAAATCGGAATATCGGTTCTTAAAATATCTTAAAAATGTGTTTATTTTTTTAATGTTTGATGCGCTCTAGCGGACAAACGAAGCATTCTTGAATAGAGATAAATTGGGTCCAATGGACTTATTTTGATTCCAAGAATACATAGTAGTTCTATGTCCACGGAATATTGGGACACCCTGTATACAATACAAATATACATACGTGTAGTATAACCGAACATTTAAGAATTTCAATTAAATTTAACTAATTATTTTTTTTACATCATCGCTTTTATTTACTAAGTACTCGTTAAAAATAATTTTACAAAAATCCGCCAATTTGACTTACCTGCTTCAATAGCGAATCTGATGTTTGTATTTAAATAATTATTAAGTTATTCATTTTTATTAGAATTATAATATTTTCATAACCTAACAATTTACCAACATTTATTGATAACGTAAAATAAAACAAAAAGTTATTGAGTCTTCCCTACATTATATTTTTACACGTTCCGAATAAAACTAGAACGGCACTGAATAACCCGGAATTTAATTAAACCATTTTAGGTCAAGTTCTTTGATATGCTCCTTCCTTAATCTTTTTACTCAAATCCGGCAAATGTTACAATCAAAGACATCTAAATGGGTAGACAGAACACTCCATTCATAAAACTCAATTTTTTAGAATCATACATGGTTTGACATTTTTATAAGAGTTAAAAAGAGATGGGTACATAAATATGACAACACGGTTGAGTTACGTCTATCTGTCATTTGGCTCTATCAGTGGCGTGACGGTGGCGTGATTTTTTTATCAAAAATTGATGAATTTTATCAAAAATTGATTGGGATTGCCTCAGACCAATTTTCCATTACCTATAACTAGTTTTGCCAGCGGTCTTTACTTTACTTTTTCGTGTCCGGACAATAAATATCTATAGTATCTAAAATATATAAGTGTAATTTAAAATTCTTTAGCCCAATACCGAGCAATGTCTCTAGCATTTTCTTCGGCGTTCCATAAATCTTCTAGGCTACAGGTATGAGGGCAACTTCTGCAGGACAACAGATACAACATATGCTCCATATTTTGGGTTTCGCCACATTCACAGTCCGTGTCCTCGACGTCGATAAGCCCGCATTTGGCTTTGTTGGTCTTAACCGGCGCTACTCCTGTTCTAATTCGGTTCAAGGACTTCCAGGTAGCCCGATCAAGATGTCGGCCGGTGGGGGCTGCAAAACCGGAGGCTCTATAAAGTTGAGGTAGACTTGTTGCTTTCATACACCCGGTTGTTATTCGACACGTTTCATTTAAAGCAACGTCAACTTGTTTCGCATGGCTCGATCTGCTCCATACAGGGCAAGCGTATTCGCCTGTTGAAAAACATAGAGCCCGTGCCGTCATTCTTAAGACCGAGGGATTTGCACCCCACTTGCTTCCGGTTAACCTTCTTAAAATATTATTTCTCGCGTTGACCTTTGGTCGGGTTTTCTGACAGTGGTACCTATAAGTTAAGGTCCTGTCTAATATCACACCGAGATATTTAAGTGTTTCTGTGTGTTCCAGTGAACTACCTCTCCACAGAACATTGAGTTTTATCGTAGCCTCTCTATTGCGTAGGTGGAAGGCAGAAACCTGCGTCTTCGATGGGTTGGGCTTTAGTGAGTTTTGGTCGTAGTAATCAGCCATGGTGTCAAGTGCAGCTTCCAGTTTTAGTTCGATGCTGTTAAAGCTGGTGTCTTGCACAGCTATTGCCAGGTCGTCAGCATAAAGAAAATGTTTTGAGTAAGCAGGAAGGGGCTGATCGTTGGTATATATATTAAATAGCATTGGCGCCAAGACGCTCCCTTGAGGCAAGCCATTCTTTTGAATTCTCTGAGAGGTCTAATTGAGGGTAACTCCAATTTCACAATCGAAAGCGCCAACAAATAAGAAAATATACGTATTTTTGTAATAATCTACTTATAACAAAAAGTATCTAAATACGCTACTGTAAGCATGGCTTTAGGTAAAAAAAACGTAATAACACTTACCGTCGAAATATCAATTCCGGGTTAGAATAGTCCACCTTTTTACAAACTATGCACTGGCGAATCATCGTAGATCGTTAAAAACTACTTTAAATAGTTTTCTTTGCAATAAACACTAATAATTATTACAAAGTTGTTCGAAAGCTACAAAAACTTTGAAGTACCACAGAAAACTCACAACTGCGCGCTGTCAAATTTAATTTGAATGAAAACAAATGAAAACGTCAAATGTCAGCGTAATTCCTACAGATTTCGACAATTTCGTAGTAAAGATGAATCCAGAGCGATGCCGCTTGTTGTCAATGTAATTTCCTTAATATAATTTAATTAGAAAACTAAAAATAATTTCAATGGTATAATCCTGGCACAATCTATGTATATTAATTAAAGTTATATATCTATACAACTATTTAGTTTAACGTTTCTATAGGTACCCAAAAAACATTAATAACAATAATAACATTTGGAACTCGAACCGTATTCTATCACATACCGCGTAAATCTGTCATCATCGATTTTTGCGGAACACGGTTCGTGATCGTGATAAAATGTCAATTGTTTTGTCTCCCTTTATTTAAATGTCTTTGGTTACAACCAATATTGGAACCAAAATCTAGTGCCGTCTTTACCCTGTTGCCAATTCTCCCCCTTTTTCCCCACCCTTGCGGGGTTTCACGAATCATTAGCCGGTGACCGGATAGTTTAACGGGGGCACCCACCCTCGGTAAACACCACGTCGCGCACCCCCCGTTCTACTACTCATTTATTTCGACACGATAAATGTACAACGTAAAGAATGGGGGCGTAATATGCGCAAGGGTCGTTTTGAATAATTCATGTTTGGCTCTTTTGTGACAGCTGTTCGGAGGCGACTTTTCTCGCTGCCACCACGATCCCGGCTACTCTCTCCAACACTTGCTCTATTATTTGCTCTTTTCTCCGGCGATGATTGAAAATTTTATACAATCAAACACCTGCTGTTTTTATAGGCCAATGGATGATTTCGGGTGTTGGGGGAGAAAATTGCATTGATTTGTTCTGTATAATTTTTTATTGCAATATTAGTAGAACATATTTATTTGATTTTTACTAGTATTTTCATAATTATAAGTTTCTATTCAAGTTTGTTACTGCAAGTGACATGCTCATTTTTTCAGTCAGATGGACCACAAAAATTACAGCATGGTACGAACGAGGAATTAAAAGACCTAGAAGTAGACCAAACCTATAGGACCATGATATTATAGTAAACGCCACGAATGTTTGGGAGTCATTCATCGGTCGTTACCATGTGAACTAATCTGTTCAAGGTCACATAAAACTTAATTCCAGTGCCGTGGTGTTTCAAGTCATATAATAATCAATATATAATCTGTTGTAATTTGTTGTTTTAACTGTCAAAGTCTTGTCAAAACATATATTTGGTTAGAAATATACAATGGAATGCCCCATTGATCGCACTGCAAGCACACCAATGGACTGACTGCACAAAAACGAATCAATCAAAGAAACGCGATATAGTATCGTCTTTGTCAATTACGCTAACATTTTAGAATAAGTAGGAGGAGCGCAGGCAGATGATTAGACCGGACCTTTAAAAACCTACGACTGCGGTAAAAATTTACGTTTTTAATGTAAAAATGATAGTGCGCGTGTCAATTCTAACTTCATCAAGCGATGAATCACTCCCAAACATTCGTGGCGTTTACTATAGGAAATTAGCAGGGATAACTTGGGCTCTCATTGCCAACAATAGACAATAATGGACCAAACTACAAAGAGAATATCTAAATATGGGAGGCTACACCGCAGAATTGGACAGATGGACCACAAAAATAACAGCATGGCACTTGGCTATTTCTATAGGCGAACGGGGATTCTATAGGTAAAATGGGGAAACACCAGAACTCATCACTGACTGAGCCGAGACAACAACCATTCGTATCATAAACTTTCGTACGACTAATATTAGAGATGGAGAACTAGAACTGTAGATACTGGCTTTTGTCAATCATGATAAAAGATTTTTGGAAGAAATGGAGTTAATTAAAGAATGATAAAATTTAAATTATTATTTCTGAATTTTATTGTGTCATTTCCTTTTGTAGTGTTTTGACAAGTTTTTCGTCAACTATTGTTTTGATACGAAAACAGTCATAAACAATAAAAAACCCAAATTTATCGATTTCAGGACCCATTGATGATGATTGTACAATTCTAAGCAGAAATTGAGATACATACAATGTACCTCAAACCAACTATTCCCGAGTTATTGACTTTTGAAAATATCACTTAAAGAATTCGATTTAATTAATTTAGATGTGTTCGGTTTCATTTATCGATGACATTCTGCGGAAACTGTGATACTTAATAATATTTGACATTAGTGTTCAACTTAGCATTTATAGATGTATAAAATGAGATTATATCAAGTCATACATGCGTACATTATGTGTGTATTATGATTATGTACCTAAATTCAACAATTCCCGAATTATAAAGTTTTGATTTTAAGATGTCAAACAAAAATTTTCTAATTTCCAGACTTTTTGCGGTACCTCTTATATTTTACCTAATAATAGACCGTTCCCATACATATGATTTATTACATGTGATTTTTTTTTGTTTCAGATCAGATCACATTTGGTATGAACCGGTTTGTGTCTAAATCAGACGATGAGGAAGAATCACCAAACAACAATAACACCAAATACTGTCACAAAGAAGAAAACAGCGGCTACTTTAGTGGAGATGAGCGAACGTCACCGAAAAATGACAGTACGTGGGATCACTCTCCTAATCGACCTTCCCCTAGTACCAGCCCTGAATTAGAAGTAGATTCACCGCCACATTCTAGGACAAACTCGCCATCACTAAGGTGAGCATTATTTATGAGAAATATTAACTAGCAAAGTCACAGACCACACGATTATAAAACTCCTTGATCCATATACAGCAAAGTATCAAGTAGAAAATTCCTCCAACGACAGGTTTCATCACAGTGACACGTGTCTGAAATTTTAATTCACATATTGTATGGCTGTATTTCATTCTAAAACCAGGGTGCTAAACCACGGTTGGAAATCAGTTTTCAAATTCCTCTAAGATATCGGTAAAATACGGAACAGTTTGATAAGATAGTAACATTGTGAGATAACTTAGGTTTTTATTTCTTTCGAGTACCTTATCTCTTTTTTAACTTACGTTTTTATTTCTTTCCAATGGTACCTGGTGGCGTAGAGGTACAGGCTCTCATCTACCAATCTGAAAGTTGTGGGTTCGAATCCTACACCCGGCATCTCATCAGCCTATCAGACTATTTTTATTAAAATAAAAATAGTTTGGGTACCTAGGTCGACTCAGCTTTAAATGAGTACTTGGGATTCACAATCCTGACGTAATAATAGGCGGTTGTATTGTGTTGTGTTGTATTACCTTCCTTGTATACCGAACGGCTCTAGCTAAGTGGGGTTACCGAACGGCTCTAGCCTTGGGGTAGCAAGGTACAGCTTGCCACTTGGGAGTGGCAAGCTGTACCTTGCTACTCCCAAGGCGTTAAACGGTATATACGGGAGCTATTATTATTATATATTTCTTTCTTCCGTATTCTTAATATAGAAATGTTTTTTCATGCTTGATTCGTCCTTTCAATAGTTTAATACTAAAAAATACTTTGAAAATGATCTGTTAAACTAGTGTGACATTTCAAGTTTTCTTCAACAGAAAAAGATTGGATGACAGATAATTAACAAACGAACCAGAAAAAGCAGGCCTTTTTGCGTTGGTTAATTTGGTGACAATAATACAGTAATAACTGATGCTTCTCACACACACAGGAGTTGTGTTCTGTAATAATACAAATTTCAGGAAAAACGGAACGGAAAACCCGACAATTTCGGCACTTTTCATCATATTTTGAACATCCTGTATCGAAATCTTCGCTGACTCGTTGGACAGACTTTAGGTATATCGCAAAACTCTCAAAAAATGGAAAAGAATATATAAATTATTAAAATCAATATCGACAACAAAAAAATTTTATGATTTTAATATTTTTCAATTTTTTTTCTGGTTTTAGTAATGATAATATCCGGCTTTTTTAACAATTGCTTGCTATATACAAAGATATAAACATTATGCATTATTTTTATTATAAAATAAAGATAATGTAATCTACAGATTACGTTTATTTTATTAATTTATATTTGGGATAAAACGGTTCCTTAGATTAGTCGATCGGCTACAATTATTAGATTATATTCCTTTATCAACAATGGGAAGTGAAACAAAACAAAGAAACAACATAAGGTAACGTAATAAATTTTTACCCAGTAGGATATCAATAACTTTTCTAAAAAATTGAAAAGTCAATTTTTTTGTAAAATGTCAGTAGGTTAGAATCCAAATTTGAAACATTTTTTAGTAGATCTTTAGTTGTAATCACATTTACCTAACCAACAAAAATACCACTGTTAATAGCAAAACCAAAAAAAGGAAAATATTTTTCATTGTTAAATCTAGCGAAGAGTAGCCTTAACCGTACCGTTTTGCCCAAAATTTTAAAAATTAACCAAATTTTTCATACTGGATGGTTGTGATTCTTGCGCAATATTTAGTTTGATCTGTTCCATTATATATTTTTTCAGATATTTATTCGCATTATTTCAACAAAAATATTAATTTTTCTAATGTCTTGTAAATGGTATGATTATTTTGTGTTTCTATTCTTAAAGTTTATTTTATCTATTTGTTATTGCTGTTATACTGATGGCTTACTCTATTGCAGGGATTCGCCAAGACCATCCTCCGTCACCGACCTACACAAAGAAGAATCCCCGGGCAAAAAAAGCGAATCATTCTCAGTCAGCGCATTGCTCCGACCAGACAATCCCAAAAAGCTCTCCAAAACCACACCTTGTTACGAGGAAACCATCTCTGTAACCCGCTCGTACCTGTACCCCCCATTCGGCGACCTGATGAAAGACGCACAAGCCTTGAAGAGCAACCTTCAAGAGTACAGTCCTGCGTTTTTACCCCGAGGGTTTATACCTCCTAGTTTCTTTCCACCCAATTTATACCAGCAAAAGGAAGGCGATGAACGGGCATTTCTCCCGACGACTACGTCACTATATTTTAGCGCAATGGCGGCCGCTATGGCGAGTAGTAACCAGGCCGGGAGTCCGTACCCTGTGACGCCATCGGCTGAAGATATTTACCGATTGCGGCATCATCTGATGAATAATCCGGCAGGGGTGCACCCGCACCATCATCATTTGTTGATGAGGCCGGGAATGATGCCTCTAGGTAAGATTATTTCGCATTTTAAAGTTATTAAAATACTTAGCAAATAAAATATTACTGCAAATTAGATATGTTTTTCCATAGCAACTGTTAAAATTGCCTTATATCTATCAAAAAAAGTAGATAAAATAGTACTTTAACCGCAAGGGTAGATTAAATGATCCTTTAACAGCGAGGATAGGTTAAAAACTTTATTTCTTCTCGCACGTTTTTTAATTGTTTCCATTTTTGAAAATTTTTGTATTCCTTTTCATAAGTTATTCGCGATCTAAATGGAAGTAGTTTGGATATGGCGTTTGTCGCCTCAGCCTGAATATCTGTTGGTAATTTAATTATTTCGTTTTGAGCCATTTATGGTTCCAATTCAATCAGCAATCGACACGAAAGAGAATTAAAAAATATTGACTCAAAACTGACAACTAAAGAGACAGCTTTATTTATTTGTCAAATTTCATAGGAACCAACGCCAACCCAGGCACAATATTTTTTCTACTCGTAATAAATTCCTTGAAATAATAATTTCTGAATATTTATTAAAACGTAACTCGCTATGGAAAAAGATATTGTTTTATGCGATAAAATTGCATTATGGTCTCCCGAAATTAATCCACTCGCGATTTCATCGCTCGTGAATTAATCTTTTCGGTCGACGATAAAATACCATTTTATCGTCTTGTATAAAAAATAACTATTAGCTAGGAGCGCTCTGCAAAATAGAGAAAAACTCAAAAGCCTCCCATGCGGCAAATAGCTTATTACACAAAAAGTAATAAAAACACACGAAAAACACATATTACTAGGCAACAATCGCTCTACAACCAAGCCTCGATCTCAAAATAGCTCACCAAACAACATCTTTTCAAAATATAAACATATCTAAATTATTTTCTTTTTCGAAAAAACTGGATATTATCTCAAAATTTAACGGCCATAAAAAGAAGAACTAAATACTAACTTCAACACGAAATACATAATATTCTTCTTCTTCAACAACAACCAAACTGTTGTAATGCCGACATTTGTTCACTGCGACATTTTTAGATTTATTGTGATCCTCTTCTGATCTTTAATAAAACTAATCTGTATTATTTGAGAATTTTATCTGAAAAATAATTTTGGTTTTAGGTGACGTGTATTCTTGTATAAAATGCGAAAAAATGTTCTCCACACCTCACGGCTTGGAAGTACATGCGAGACGATCTCATAACGGCAAGCGACCTTTCGCTTGTGAACTGTGCAATAAGACTTTTGGACATGAAATTAGCTTAAGCCAGCATAGGTAAGTTTTTTATTTGTCGATAAATTTTATTCTAAAGTCGTAATTTCTAGAGCTGTACATAATGTTGAAAAAGTCTTTGAATGCAAGCAGTGCGGAAAGTCCTTCAAGAGATCATCTACTCTATCGACGCATCTTCTAATTCATTCCGACACGAGGCCTTATCCTTGTCAGTACTGCGGCAAAAGGTTTCATCAAAAATCAGATATGAAGAAACACACCTACATCCATACTGGTAAGTAAATTTGTTTCTTAATATACATTTTAAACTATACCCTGCTGGCAAGCGAATCCTTGGGTCGGCGTTTACATGTATAGGAGTGAATCGCTATGGCAATCTAGTAAGTCGGAGAGAGCAAAAATATATGAAGTATTTATTACATAACCACTTAATCTGACGCTAGATTCCATGCGCTTGAGAAAATACTTGCCTTCTGTCTTTATTCAGTACATCTTATTTTGCTAAGTGTGTTGACCGTACTCTTCGTACACACGAAAATCGGCACCCAAGATCAGAAATGCCAGTCCTAGCAACGTTGTTGGCGGGTTAGTTTTTATAAGCTGTTTATATTTTTTAATGCGAGTAAGCAATTTGCACACTCCTATCTTTCTCTACTGAAGTTGCTTCCTTCTATAGACGCTGTTGATGAATCATTTTAACACTATTCTTTATGCATATTCTTTATTTTTAATGATTTGGGGAACAACCAGTAAAGTAAATATACTTTGAAAGAGTTCTTGAAATATTTTACTTTATTATCAACAAAAATTTCGGCGGATAAGTAAGTATCTTTTAAATAGTTAGGAAGAAAAAATATCATTATATGCAAAGTACAATAACTTTGTTCTAACATTTTGATAAAATCATAGTTGTTATTCTGGTTTTTTTTCTCTTATGTTTAATACCAATTAGAACGCTTTGATTTAAACCTTTTTTGTTGCTTTTCTTTTTGATTTCTAAATTTTAATACGAATTAGATTGCTTTGGTTTCAACTTTTTTGCCGCAATTTGTTTTTTCCTTAATTTTAATATGAATTTTGGCTTTGGTTTCAATATTTTCATTTAGTGTTCTCTACATTATTATTATTATTCTTTTAAAATATGTTTCACTATAACGTTTCAAAAATGAAAATGATGAATTTCTGCAAGAATTTTCTTGCGTAAATGATGCTTAGAAAAAATTTAGAATGTAAAACAGAAACGTGTATTTATGTAACTGATTTCAGTTATTCTAAATCGGAAAACAGAAAATAATGCATTTCCGTAAGTAATTTTTATGATTTCGTGTTTGGGGAGGCTTCCATATACTGGGGATTATTTCTTTCTTGTTTTATAAGTGGTTTCAGCTAAAAAAACACCGCTTATTATTTTAAAACTTTATTTCTCGGACTGCTATCAAGTATGTAACAGCGCTTTAAGATGTAGCGGACCGTCCGCGACTCCATCTGAAAGCGCTGTAAAAGTATGTATTACGACATAGTATGAAATAAAAAAGTTGTGTGTGCACTATGTACCCATATTTGAAGTGAAACTTTTTAGTAACAGCTATTAAATTAAAGTTGTAGTTTTAAATGATGAAAAAGTAATAAATTAAAAAATATATTTTTTACGCGTAAAAAATAGTTTTTTACATGTAACAAATAGATTTTTGCGTGTAACAAATAGTTTATTACACGTAAAAAATTATTTTGAGTGTGTAACAAATAGTTTCTTACGTGTACCAAGTAGTTTTATTTACGAATAAAATAAAAAATTGATAAATAATTTGATTCACTAAGCTCTGTGTCACGGCCTTGAATATTAATTCCCAGCACGCGTAAAGAAGTTTCGCATCAAAAACTAAAGGAATAGTTTTGAGAATACAGCTTTTTACAACAAGCCTTGATATCTACTACACACTTTAAACCTTTTTTGTTAATGAAAATCTGCTAGATCCGGTAAAACAAAATTTCGGCTTCTTTAAACTTTCATCGCTCTCAACTTCGCGTCCGTCGGTTTGTAGCCGTATCGTTGTTGTATCGGAAAGTTTCGCCGCAAGCAGCTTTTAACAGGGTCTGAAATTATGGGCCCCGTCTTGTCTAATTAGTAAATAATTCACTGGTAAGCCGCCACGGCAATTAATAAACGGCTTTGAGACAGCCGGCGGCCCGAGGGGAACGATAGGGTTGGATGAGGTCGACGTAAAGTGGAATATTGTTTCTTCTTGGAGGGAGGAGATCCTTCTGGGCGTCTGTAAATTTAATTTGGTTAGTTTTCTATTTTTCATTATTAATTTAAGTGACAAATGTGCTGACTAGTGATGGACATTACGATTCTTTTTAGTGATTCACTTAACGCGATTCAATTTTTCATATTGAATTGGCTCCTACGATTCGTTCATTTCGTTCATTCATCACTACATGCACAATTTACGTTTCATAAAAACCAAAATCGTAATTGTCACTACCGGCGATAATTTGATCGGACAATAATTACTTAAGAAATCTGAAAAAGTAATATTCAGTCCTTTCATTTGTTTTTCAACACTTTATGCCTCTGGGGTAATTGGATTGATTATTTTACCAATAATATTAAATTATTATCAACCCAATTCATATATACTATTTATTCAAGACATTCTTTAATTTGATAATCATAATAAATAGTAAATAATACAGCATGATCGAAAACAAAATGGCGTTCAGTTGGCTTGGAAATGAACATCGATGACATTCCCCATATAATTTTACAGATTAAAATGATAGCGATATTTATTTTATAACAATCGCTGACGCCGTTTTTTTTATCATATTGAGCAGATGCCAACAATATTTATTTGGAGTTGCATAAAAACAGGATTTAGACTTTTAGTCCGACATTTAATGGTTTATAGTCGTTAATATTATTTTAACAAAAATATTAACGTAAACATTAAAAAGGTACCTACCTTACAGATACTCCCGTACTAAGCACAATATAAATAAGTTTTTTTTTCTTGTAAATAACTTTCTTATTGTTTGCATTTTAAGCCCATGATGTTTGTTTAGGGCTTTTGTTCAAGTCTAAATATTGGTGCCTGCTCTATGCCTAATATCACCGCCGGCGCCGCGCGGTAGAAACGAACGATCGCATTGTGATCTGATTCAATTCTCACAACTCTTTTTTACGGCTCATCGTTCAAATGATCTTTTGGATCCGTGCTGGCCAGGATTCAATTGAGTGAAGCGTAATGTAAGCAATGAATCAATTCTCACGACTTTTTGAACGAACGAGCCGTAGAAACGAACGAGTCGCATTGTGATCCGATTCAATCCTTACGACTTTTTACGGCGTGTTCGTTCAAATTCTATGGATCCGTGCTAGCCACGATTCAATTGAACGAACCGTATTGTATAAGCAATAAATCAATTCTCAAGATTCTTTGAACGAACGAGTCGCATTGTGATCCGATTCAATTCTTACGACTCGTATAATCTGTAGTCGTAGTTTACAGTATGTCTGCTGCTTTTCAATAAAAGTTTACTAAGTTTTTCTCTGAGTCCTGGTTTATTTTCAAGCCGAGTCTCTGTATTCTGAATAATATAACACCATGCTGGCCACGATTCAATTGAACGAGCCGTATACTAAGCGGTGAATCGAATCTCACGATTAATTTTTAATACTCTTTCAAATGAGCAACCCGTTGAATCTTTGCTCACTTCTAGTGCTGACATGTCCACGAATCACGCCGTTCATATAAACCTTCACTAATTCTAAAAATGTTTTTTTTATTTTGCACCAAACTCCCCTCTAAATCATTCTTACAACTTCATCAACGAAACAGAGAACGTTATTCGGAAAATATATACATTCTGGCAATTTATACGGCAACATATGCCGTGATACCAGCAGTAAGCCATTTGTCGTCTTAATTTTATTAGCACCCCCATGCGGAGAGACGGAGACACAGAGGCGGCGGCAGCGAGGGCAACGATAAAGTGAGCCCCCAGCCCCCTAAGTGACTAACTGATTATATCGTGTTGCAAATCGATGATGAGCCAGACGCACGCCAAGCTCATTGAAAGAATAGAATCGTCTTTATTGTCTGCTAAATGGAGAAGCCAGTTAAGAGGATTGATGTCGGTCTCGATTGGTATAAATTGATATAATCAAAATAAGATTCTAGCTATCTAGAGTGGTATTTGAAACAAATTGTTTTGATTAACACGATAAAATAATATGATGTATAAGCGAATTAAATAAATAAATAAAATGTATAACTTTATTAACAAGAAAGAAAGGTACTTCACAGGAAGTAACTAAAAAATAGAATAAACTACATAGGTAGTACAGTAAAAAATAGCAACCACGATATCAATATCTATTATAATTATCAAATGTAATACCACAAGATGTTTCGGGATTACCGAATAATACTTTTACCTGACACGAAATGCGTTACCTGGCAACACTACGACTCCGAAGGAGGAGTAGTGTTGCCGGTATCGCATTGTTGCCGGTATCGCATTGTTGCCGGTATCGCATTGAGTAACCGAACGTAACGAAACCTAACCTAACTAAACATCGAGTTGTATTCAAAAGATTATACAACGAAATAAAGTACATATAGTGAATTCGGATCTTTTAGACAATGAACTGAATATTTTGTCAAAAACCTATTGAATTGAATAAAAAAACATGCTATCGAAAGAAGGTGCACCTTGATGATATAGTAGTTTTTAAATTCCTTATTTTGTTAAACTATTCGACAGGTAGTTGCAAATTTTTGTCAGAATAAGAATATTTTTCTAGTTTCTTTTAAGCTACCTTGCACGTATGAACCTTTTTAAAAAAATGAAATTTTGGTTAATATCCAGGGAAAAGACAAGTCGAAATATATTTTAAAAAACTATTTTAAGTCAGGTGAGTCACTTCGTTACTTTTTTATTCAGAATATAAAAATTTGTAAATTACCGCTGTTAAATAAAAGAAAGGCTATGTTATCTTCAAATAAAATATAGAACAAATCCACGGAAAACATATTTTCTTCAAATCGACGACCAAACGAACCGAAACCCTATATTTCTCCCTTGTTTTTATTGCCCGATAAATTTTAATTCTCCTCCACCGTCCGACGATAAATTCCCCCACACCCTTCGCAAGAAAATAAAAAACAAAAGCAGCTCCTGGCACCCGCCACGGCCACCTATCCGAAATCAAAAATACGGCCTTCGGACTATAACGCTTAATAATTGAGCGTTATGGCTTTTTGGGAA